AGGTAACATTTATTATAACTAGAGCCTGGCCTAGAACCTATTCTTGGCCAAGTGTTGCTGATACAGTCTGTGACAGTTGTGTTTGTTTGTTTGTACACTTAGTATACCACAATATATATACTTCAAAGCAGAACAGATAGATACTTTAGAATGGTTCTGTCTCTGAGAAAAACTAAAACAATTCTAGAGGAATTACAGCAGAACCTCTGACAGTATTTCTTTAGTTAAATTAGGTTTAATTTACAGTAGAAAAGACCCAATTATCAGTTAAAGAAAGAAATAAAAGTCATAACAATGTGACTTTTTAAATAAACAAAGGATTGTAGTTTAACTGTAACAGCAGTCACCCAAAAACAATAATAAAATAATAACATGAATAACTTTAAATCATACAATAGTGCTCATTGAAATAAATGCAGTCAGCGATAAATGATTCGTAAGGCTAATAATACAAAGTGAGAAACTAAAAATAATCAACAAGTTAGTACAAAGCTGAATCAGCAGGGGACGCCACACTCCATTCTCAATCAATCAATTAATCAAACGTTATTCATACAACACATTGAATACACAAAAGGTAACACAGCAGGCTTTAGTGATTACAAAATGTTTATGAAAAAATAGATAAATATAATGTTTTAATTATTAAAACTTCTTATTATCCACAACATATAATATACACAGAACTGAATAAAACAAGAATAACATTGAATTAAAAGCAACATTACTTATTCTTATTTATACTATGATACCACTGTATATATCGTAGTATACATGTTATATGTTGTCGTTCAATGTGCACCATTTTACTTCTTATGTTTACATAAATATTATTATTCCATTTTATTTTTGTATTTTATTGAACTTTTGACTTGACCTTCCTGTCTTTGAATAAATATCTTTATTTAATTTTATATTTGTATTTCAAATGTTATCCTCACACTTCTTGCCTTTATTTAAATATTTGAATTCAGTTTTATTTTTATTAACTAAGTATTTATAATTATAAAAAATATAATTGTTTTGTTTATTTATTTATTTTAATCCTTTTTTATTATATTCTAAAATGGAAATACTGTCATACAAAATTCTGATTCTGATCCCCCCCACCTTGGCTATGCAGTTTTCAAATGGGACACTTTGTTCCTCTGTTACCTCATCAGTGATTCATCTTGTTTTTTTCTCGTCCAGGTGCCATTGTCCAAATTCCAGGAGCTCCGTTACAACGTGGCTCTGATTCTCAAGGAGATGAACGATCTGGAGAAGAGGAACATCCTCAAAATCCAGGATTGATATCCCGATATTTAATACACCTCTCTTTTCTACTTTAGATTTAGTGGAGTTCTGTAAATAGCACCACTCATATTAAATCATACCTACTATGATATCATGAAAGATAATAATAATCCGCCTGTCATGGCGCTACGATCTGATCGCGTTGGCATCCAACATGCTTGACTGCTGCCAGAGTGTAAAACGATAGGAATAGTTATCCAGCTGACTGCACCACAGGAATACCTTATAACCATGACAAAAAGACTGACAGATTTAAAAATAAATCTGTCAAATCAGACTGGATCAATCATTTTCTTGCATTCTTGTTAACTGTACATATTAGCATTGTTGTATCCAGTGGTTGTCTAGAGATTTGAGACAGATACAGAGCCTCCATTGTGCCAAAATACAAATGCAGTCAAGTGAGACCCTCTCTTACTGGGTATCCACTTTAACCGCAGTCATGTGATCCGAGTCTGAACATTTTGTCCACATGCTAATGAAACATGAGGGTGTGCAAATTAAAGATTCATCCAGTGCATTTTTCTACTCATTTTCTTGTATGCGTGTAACTCAAACCATGCCGTGACTGAACAAAATGAACTGTAATATATAAAGCAAGATTGAATGTTTGTTTTTTGTTTGCCATAATAACATAAAGACTTTTTACCTCTTGAATCACTTTTCTCTAATAAAATATGTCCATTCCTGTATCTACAAAGACTGATTTCTTCATTTTTAACATGATGTCACAGAGAGGGAACAATTAAAATGGCATTTTGTGAATGATAAACACTTTTCACCTGTACAAAAACACTACATACTCACTGAGGATATTAGAGAACACATAAACCACTAAAAGAAACCCACTTCATTTTTTTAAAATTATATTATAACTTTTTTCTATTTCTTTATTTTTTTTACTTTAATACTTTTGTATGCATGCTTCTAAGTAACATTAAGCTGTCTTTGGCTCTGCTGTAACAATGTACATTTCCCCTCTGGGACTAATAAAGGGATTCTGATTCTGAATGCTTGTTAAAGAGATGAATAGCTGACAAATCATATGATGAAACTGTTCCAAAAGCTACTAATCAACAACGCCTTTCGTCATACAGTGATGTAAGACGTATGGGGAGGCGTGTGGTGCAGTGTGTTGTGCGTTGGTGTTCAGATCAGGGGGTCACAGGTTCAAACCCCACTGCAGTCAGCATGTCGTTGTGTCCCTGGGCAAGACACTTCACCCCAAATTGCTCCTGTGGGGATTGCCCACAGTATTGAGTATGTAAGTCGCTTTGGATAAAAGCATCTAACAAGTGACATGTTGTATGTAATGGATGAGAATAATACATGTATATACGAGTATTTTTTACAGCACTTGATAAAAGTGTGGGAGGTGGCTTTGATGGCCTATTTATGTTCACAAGGTGCGAAGGGACACTCATATGTGTGATCATGCCTTATGGGTGTGTGTTTCATAATGCCCTGATTTTCAGATATGGGTCAAAGACATATAAGGAGATATATATTGGTGATATAAGTGTTTTTTCATCCAAATAAGTCAGATGTGTTCTTAAAAATGTTATGTGCAACCATGATTTCCCTTAAAAATTAAAACATTCCCTTACATGCCTAACAAGCTGTCAGTAATCTTTAGTGTTTATAATAAAAAGTAAATGCATTTATTTAGAGATTTTGTTAAAAGTGTTCATATATTTTTGTTTAATAATGTCGCTATTGCATTCCTAAATTAAACTGACAGGCTAATCTTTCCTGTAAATTGCATAAAATTCAGATAAAATGCTTAAAAGAAAATACTGTTCTGATGCTGTTCCACCTTTGTTTTATACAGTGCCTGCAGCTCAGTTATGTCAGTCCGTCTGTTTTTGCATGTTTGTCAGTTCGTCTGCTGCTGTGAATATTATCAGTCAGCGGTTTGTGTCTGTGCAGGATTGAGTTCACAGACCGGCCGACCTACATCTCCTGCACCACACTACACTAAGGACATGGCCACTGATAGACTGACCGGCCTGTAATCCCCACTCAGACATGCAGGTTGTATTTTGAGGCTGCAGGATATACTACTTCAGGCTTGGCTTAAAATACAACGTTGGCTATTATCGGAACAATTTGGAGGACAATCCTGTAACCAGAGTCATTAAACTTGGAGATGAACCTACTTCTATCAGCAGCCACTGTGTCCAAATGCAGTGTGGACTTAAGAACTCTGACCTTAATAATGCTACAAGCACTAGGCCACTTCTATGCAGTCACTAAAAAACCCTTACAAACGTATTATACTCATAAGTTGTAGAGTATCTGTCTGCAGCAAATCTTGCAAACTACTAAGCTTATAGTTTTTGTGCAAATGTATGACTGTATTCTCAAGGACCTCTTGTTGTTGTGGTTATATACATTTTTTAGTCAAGCTTTGTTTTTGATTGTTTTATACCGTTATTGATTGATGACTCCTCACTACTCTAAAGGGCCGGTAAAAGACTCAAGTGATCAACAGCTGCTTCTGCATAATGACACTTCTAGCATTCCCTCAGGCCAAAAAGTCAGGCCTAAAATCTCAAATCCATAGAAAGGTTCTGACTTATTTTGAACTGAAGCATGTGCAGTTTAATTATATACCAAAAATGTTATGATCAACTAAAGTAAAGCCAATACAAGATAAATACATCCAGTTGTTGTTATCTCTGCTGCCATTGTGTCTTTAAGGGAGCCGGGAGTCTCTTTTTTGTTTTGAAAGGCAGAGGAAGACACACCTGGTAGAGATTTGCACTAACGTTTTGTCATTGGTCAACACTTTTATGCAACAATGACTGGCTAAAGTTCTGGGAAGTGCCTCACAGTTATCAAACATAGGTTGTGTCACTGTTTGATAATCGCCTTATGTCGTCTGACACCCAAGGAACTGATGTGAGGGGCAGTGACAAGAAGGGACATGTTCTTCTGATAAAAATGATCCTGTCACAGTACAGAGTGTGTAATAGCTTAACAGGAATACCAGCAACCCTAAACAAATGTTGCTAGGTGAATGCAGCAGATTGGTCCAAAAGCACAACTTGACTACTTGATCTATGAAAAAAAAAAGTAATGATTTTATTTCGAGGTTTTCATGAAACGAAAAATACCTATGTTAAGCATTTATGTCACACCTTTTAATTTCTTTGTCACATAACTGATGTTCCTGTTATATGACGGGTGAAGCCGGTGACATAACAGGCATAACTCCAGCAACAAACAGAGAGAATGCCTCTCAAAGACAAAATTCCATGGGTTAAACATTTTGTTCCTAATCAGTTAAATTAACCACCTCAGTCCCTGGTAGAAAACCACACACACACCAACACGGTTGTGCATTAACAATACTTATGTGAAATATCTACATTTTGTAAAGTTGGGTACTTTTATTATTGCCTGGTACCTCACTAACTAAGACTGTAACAACAATGTTGTGAAATATATATATATATACTGTATATATATTGTACAATTTAATATAGTTATTACTGGCTGGCTGCTATACTCATTTAATTTTACTTTTTTACAGTAGGCCTGTGTCCCCTGTGCAGATAAGGGTCATTCCATTGCACAGCAGAGACAAAACTTGTGAAACAAATAATATCATATTATTATTAAACATGCATTACACTGAATAACTTCCTGAAATGTGACACCAATACACTTAATTATTGAGTAGAAAACCCCCCAGCTCAGTGCCCTAGGAATGGATGCCCCCCCCCTCGGACTCCCACACTGACCCGCCAACTGTTCAATACATTCCCGCATGCAGGTCAGAAAGGCTCCGGCCGCCGACACTGAAACTGTTAATTGCAGATTGTTTTGTAACCGGTTTCCAAAACGTCCAATCAGAACAGCTGGTCGGCGTCACATGACACACATTTTACGTAACCGTTTTTTTCCTCCTGTGACGCTCCATTGAGAATAATATGGACCTTCCAGGACTACATCATGAGCCAGCACTGTAGTCAGCTAGTACTTCCCAGCAGCAGACATGAGTGACCAGACATTGGTTAGGGACTTCTGAAACTGTTGGTCATGAGGACAGAGTGAGTATGCTTCAGCTTGCAGCGGAGGCTTTCCAGTCGAAAAACTTCGACCTAGCTGCAGATATCTACGAGTGCCAACTAGCGGGTCTGAGAGATTCAGGGAGCTGGCGGCAGGAGCTGATGGTGAAGCGGGCTGACGCGCTCGCTTTCGGGGGCAAATTCTCCGAAGCTCTAGATATGTACCGACAAGCCTCGGAGACAGACAGACTGGGACCGGTTCACCTGAGCAACCTCATAGACTACCTGGCGAGTAATATCAGAAGGCAAGCCGGGGGGCACAGGACCCCGAGCAGGGCAGGTGAGGCAGGGGCGGAGGCGGGATGCCCGGGAGTCGGTGCTACAGGTTTCGAACAGTTCTCCTGCCGGATATGTCTGAGCTTTCTGTTCGAACCGGTGACTCTGCCGTGCGGACACTGCTTCTGCAAGAAGTGTCTGGAGAGGGAGAGGAAGGAGAAGGAGCGGCCGGGGGTCTGCAGAGAGTGCCGGTCCAGCACCGGGGAAGAGGAGGTCCAGAGTTACCGGGTCAACGTGGTGCTTAGCAACCTGCTGGCCAAGTGGTTCCCGACCCCGCACCAGGCCGGCCGGCTGCGGCGGGAGGGCAACGCGCTGTACGCCGAGAGGAGGCTGGAGGCAGCGCTGGAGAAATACAACCAAGCCATAATGATAGGTAGGACAACCATTGACTTGTATTTTTGAAGAAAGTGTTACAAAGTGACGTTAATTAACAGAACATTTTCTGCTGCGTATGTGCCTTGGCTAAATAAGCTACTTTAACCTGGTTTTTAACTGTTTCCCTAAGAGTAGCCTACATTTTGCTACTGCGTATGTCACTATGCAAAAATATCTTTGCCTCTAACTTCATGTTTTTACTTTTACTCTTCAGTATTACACGTTGTTTTGCTACATGTAGCATGTCAGTTGACACACCATTGAGACATAACATCTCTGTTATAAAATGACTGTTTTATAAGTGTGTTACACAGTGTGTGTGAGTAGCTGCCTCTGCCACAGAGCCATGTGTTGGATAACACTGTTATGTAGGCTGGGCTAGTGGACCAAACATTGCGTAAGCACGTAACCCGCCCCCCTCAGCTCCCTCATTGTGTAACGTCAAACAATGACTCAGGGAGATGTGGTTCAAGGCTAATATTGCAGGTCAAACCACTAGGAACACAGCCCTACGGGGGTTTCATATTGGCAGAGGTGGTAATGACACAGGTGAACTGTGACCTACAGACGGGATTATGAGTACGGAAATACCCTTTCATAGACACAGATGTAATATATATTTTAGGATCAATACTCTGGAATAGAGCAGTCTCTGTCACTGTACATGTTGGTTGTGTAATTTTAAACATCAAAAAATAACCGGTTATGCTGTTTAAGTGTTTATCAACCTAAATGATACTTACTAAAGATAACCCACATACCTTGTTGTGAACAATTTAATGTAGGAACTATTTTCTTTCATCCAACCATATCTCCGCGCAGAAGAAAGCAAAGCATGCATCTACCTAGAGATGTGCATACTCACTCTTTGACAGGTGTAGTTGGTTAGAGATAAACAGTTCCTTTATGAAACTGGAAAATCAGGAAACAGGTTAAATGTCACTTTTTTGACAGGTGAACTGTCCCTTCTAAAGCCTTGTTTGGTAGAGATGGTGGCCCATGCATTGGGGCTCATTCCCCACTGCAGGTGACCTGGGTTTGAATCCAACCTAAGGGCAATTTAACTTCCAGCTGATGCTGCAGTGGAGATGCTCAGACACCAACAATGCTGCGTAGTTAATCTGCGTAGCTCCCAAAGGCATAGCATCAGATTGTTCTGGTATGTGTCCAGAATCTTAATTTGCACCAACATGCTATTAAAAGTGATCCTGTGTGTTTGGGAAAGCTGATTTGATAAATAATGAGTCACACAGAGTGATATAACTGGCTTCAAACTGCAATGACTTGCATCTCCAGTCCTTTGAATCTGGAGGGGTGAATGGCTGCTCCATTAACTGCGTCACTCTGACTCATTTGTGGTTATAACTAAAGGCAAAGGAACACTTGCTTCACTAAAGAAGGTGCAGATTCATTTGCAACCCTAATCAACTTGCTAGTACTTGCAGAATCATTGCCTATATTATTCTTTCATCTATATATTGGAAATTAAATATAAAGATGTGTCGATATTTAGTGAAAATATATACTTTCTTTGGTTGTCTGCATGTTGTTTGTATGGTGTGTGTGTGTGTGTGTGTGTGTGTGTGTGTGAGTGTGTGTGTGTGTGTGTGTGTGTGTGTGTGTGTGTGTGTGTGTGTGTGTGTGTGTGTGTGTGTGTGTGTGTGTGTGTGTGTGTGTGTGTGTGTGTGTGTGTGTGTGTGTGGTGTGTGTGTGTGTGTGTGTGTGTGTGTGTGTGTGTGTGTGTGTGTGGTGTGTGTGTGTGTGTGTGTGTGTGGTGTGTGTGTGTGTGTGTGTGTGTGTGTGTGTGTGTGTGTGTGTGTGTGTGTGTGTGTTGTGTGTGTGTTGTGGTGTGTGTGTGTGTGTGGTGTGTGTTGTGTGTGTGTGTGTGTGTGTGTGTGTGTGTGTGTGTGTGTGTGTGTGTGTGTGTGTGTGTGTGTGTCCCTTCCTTTGTGGGGGAAATTAATTTCTCATCCTAAAATTATGCAATTCAATTTATAACTGGTGAATTTCTTATTTTATGTTAAATTTATATTTTAGAGTTCATTTTAAAGTTGGATCTGGATTCATAATCTCGATTATGGCAAAAATCATAATCTCGATTATTTGGGTTAATAATTGATATCACGATTATTAAAAACGATTATCCATTTACTTTGAAAACATCCATTTATTGAAAAGAAAAATGTGAACAGTATGTTTTTAACAATTGATTACCCTGAACTTTAAGTATAATTCAACTGAAAAACCAATATAAAAAATAAATAATCGTTTTATTTCGATTATGTTGTTTTCATAATCGTTGCAAGCCAAAATCGTAATTGCGATTAAAATACGATTAATTGAGCAGCCCTACTCTGTAGGCCATTAGAACATAAGGACGTGGTAGATGAGGCCATGCTTTCTGCAGTGTGTTGTGAAACAGTTGCCTCAGTATTGGGGTCACTAAACTGACTGGGTATGTCATGGTTTTAAGCTGATAGAAAGAGTTCTTAAACCAAAAATAATTGACTAGTTCATTGACAGAATACAGATTTACACTATATTGATATTATATCAACTATTTCAATAGTATAAAAAGCAAAAATGCCCAAACTTTAAATGTGGAAATATACTGTATTTCTCAGTTCTAAACTGTAAATGGAGCATCAAAAGCAATGTAAAGACCTGCATGGACTCTTATAGGTTAATAATGACACATATATTTCAGAACATACAGTGTTTACAGCCTGGACGTTAGCACAGCAGGGGCTCCCTCCACAAAAGGCCAATGGGTTTTTCGCCTAAGTTAAAGGCGGACTCATGTTCGGCGTGATGCCGTTTAGTCACTTGTTAGCAACCTCTTTTCTTATGACACATAGCAGCTTTAGACATTGCCCAGTGGGGAATTTAACGACATATTCTATGTCGTAGAAACATTAAAAAAAATCTCTTAAGCTTGTTTTAACATAGCTTTTTTTTCCAGGAATCTAACCAAAAACTCAACATTTAAAAACGTTGACTTTAAGACGAGGGAAGAGGTCAAATGCAAACTTATTTCCATGTTTAGACTCATTCCTGCTCCACTCTATTGCATATGATGTTTCTCCTGACTGGTTTAGTCTTGTGCAGCCACATGGCATGCCAATTATTTGGCCACAGCATTGTGGTGACTCTTTTGGGCCAGGGTGTTTGCCCCATCGGAAGGCCGGAAGTCCTAAAATGCTAACTAATTCCTGCACCACTCTATTCTCTTGTAACTATCTACCTATGGTTACTAACGGTCCCTTCTCTTCTCCACAGCACCCATGGACCACATACTGTTCAGTAACCGCTCCCAGATCCACTCCAGTCTGAGACACCATGAAAAGGCTCTGAGAGACGCAGAGATGACCTGCAGACTCAGGCCTCACTGGTCCAAGGTACGGCCCACGAATTGATCCGCATTATTAAACCGGTTTATGTTAGTGAAATGCAAACAGCTCTTGCGTGTGGTTGGATAAGTGATGTGTGTTCCTCCCTCCTGCAGGGTCATATCCGTAAGGCGCAGGCTCTGGTGTCTCTGGGCAGGACGGAGGAGGCTCTGAGGGAGAACCTGCTGTGTCTGTCCATAGAGCCCGACTGCAGACTGGCCAAGACCGAGGCTCACAAGGTGAGCACAACATTATAGAGCACACCCACAGATACATATCAATTCAAAACATATTTATTCCATCTTTCATTCATCATGTCATGTATGTCAAACATTTCCTATTAGATTTATTATAGATTATATTTATTTTTCTGTAAAACTAAACACTGATGAGAATAACGTAAACAAAATAGTTTTATTTAAAAAAAAAATGTACACCTTTTTGTTAATGTATGTTCATTTGAAGGACCCCACAGTCTTTTACAGTGTCAAACATTTGTCTTTGTTTTGTGTAGTATTTTTTAAAGGAGAACTTGACTGCATCAGCAAAGAGTATATATTATAATATTGTTTTAAATGTAAGCAGAATAATCACATCACTGTTTATTGTCTTCTCTCAGCTCCTCAGTGATCTCCTGGCTCCAGTTACAGACCAGGTCCCTGAACACATCTCCGACTACACCAACATACTGTCTTTTAGAGCTCACATCAAGAACAGCATCACCACGCCCTCCCAGGTAAGAGCTGCTCCACCTCCAGCTGGCAGCAGTTATATAAACAAAAACACTGAGGGGACGTGAGGATTCATTATCTTCTCCTTCCATCTTTCTCTTAGATGTTCAGTCCCAGCCTCATGTCTCTGGCACCTGAGAGATCAGACGTTGGTGACGGCAAAGGTCAGATGAAGCCTGAAGTCAGGAGTCCGGACCACAGTTTCCTCCTTAAAAGAAAATGGAGCAGCACAGAGGAGAAGGGAGGACAGGAGGGAAGAGAAGATCACAAGAGAGCAAAATCTGGTGAGCTTCTTAGTTTGTGCACACACACAAATGCACTCTCTCAAGCAGCAGCAAGTGTGTCTTATCTTGTATGTGATCATGTCTCCATTTAGAGCCAGCAGAAGTTAAGAATCTCGTGAGTTCTGGAGATGTCTTGGACCCGACAGATCTGGAGTGTTCTCTTTGTATGAGGTGAGATTTACAGCTTATAAATCCTTATAGACACCCACCATGCAGTAAATCTGAATACCTGATTTATCACATGGGACATTGGGTTTCATGACAGTCGCTCCATTTAAGAATACAATTAAGTAATACTCTTGTCTCTATGGTTTTGACTTATTGTATTTTTCGTGTGTTTTCCACCCAGACTTTTCTACGAGCCGGTGACGACGTCCTGCGGTCACACGTTCTGTCTTCGCTGTCTGGAGCGATGTATGGACCACAACCCAAAGTGTCCGCTCTGTAAAGAGGAGCTCTCAGAGGTAATATTCCCCTTCTAACAATGTTATTTAAACTTGATCAAGTATATTAGCACTAAAACCATGTCAACATCATAACTCAGAGTATCTATTTTCCCAAATGTAAACCATTGACTTCACTGTAGAACTCATTGGGGTTATTTGATATGAGGTAGCATGGTGCCAGAGATTGCTATAGAACTAAAACATTTCGCAATGACACGAATGTAACTGATAGTGGAAATGCCATATTTTCAAAAGGACTTTGGTGCCCAAACTGTGTTTCATTTGGATCAGTTATGTCATGGCTGTTACCTAACCGCTCAATATGGTCATTTTCTGGGCCTCAAACACAAACAGATGATGTCACGAGGCAAAATGAAATGCAAGCCTCTACATGAATATTGTTGCAAAATGTTTCTGCAACGATAAACACGTGTCTAAGAGCCTTTCTGTCTGTGTCTCTCCCCAGTTCCTGGTCCAGAGGCAGTACTGTAAGACAGTACTAATTGAGAAGCTCATCTTGAGGTATTTCCCCTCAGAGCTCAAAGAGAGACAGAAAATCCACCAGGACGAGATGGCTGAGCTCTCCAAGTAAGTGTTTGTCCTCTTCTGCTCTCCAGTGTCTTATCATCAGGTTTTATTTGACTGTTATCACATATGATCTTCTCACAGATTATGGTTCACAGTGGACTGACATAGCTCTGTGAATATCATGTACTGTTGTTTGACCCACTGACCTACAATGTGACACACTGATCTCTCAGCGTGCACCACCTCAGGCCTCCAGTGTCCCCTTACTGAAGCTTCAGCATACTGTATGATATAACCCCGCCTAAACAGGAGCAACAATGATTATCTTCTCATATTTAGCCAGTATTTAGTTTTTTTGCTTTTTACATGTCGCCTTAAGATTAGTTTTGAGGAATGATGCGACAAAGTTTGAGCAGTTGTTCCTAGATTGAGGACATATTACGCTCATTTTCAGGTTCATATTATGTCGCGTTTCCACTACACGGCCTCGCTCGGCCCCGCTCGGTATGGCTGGGCCTCGTTAGGACTGGCTCACTTTATGGCGCATTTCCATTACAGTTTAGGAACTGGGGCAGTATCTATAGTAACGCAGTGTAGGCGGAGCCGTGACGTGATCTTCAGAGGACCCCAGAAAAACAACACAGCCGTTAGCTGTTAGCACTCAGAGCTCACAGCTCCTCATATATGTTCAGAAACTAGACAAAAGTTAAACAAGTACAAACCACAGACTGCCTGTGTCATGGTGAATACAGTCGCTGCTTTATTTATGTCTGTATAGGCCGTTGTTGTGAGTGTGGACGGTCGGAGCATATACTGCGTTAGCTTAGCCAATCTCCATTTAGAAAACAAGCATTTTAAAAGGTTTTTCCCCTGCCGTCTGTCTGCAGACTTGACAAAGCATTAATTCATGGTTTTTTACTAACCGGTATCAGTATGTTGTTACTTCGGCATCATTTTGAAACGTGTATTACAATTAAATCACGGTCAAATATGTCCATCTTGTTGTAGTTGTTGCCCCCTTGCCAGCGACGCTCTCTCTAGTTTAGCATACTCAGCCCGACTCAGCCTCGTTGCCTCTGGCCCTGGCCCCACGATTTTATGAGGCCAGAAAAACTGTGAATTAGGACCCCGCCGGCCGGTACTAGGCCAAGTGGAAACGCAACCAAAGACGGGCCGCTGACGTCACAGCCCTCTTAAACCGGGCTGCGGGCTGTAGTGGAAACGCGCCATTAGTAGTGCCTCTACTGTGCTGCAGCACCTCTTTTCACCCTCCGTCTGTATGTATACATTTTCTTGTACCTGCTGTGCACCCCGTTAAACCTTTGGTCCTTTCTTCTTGTCTCTCCACAGTCTGAACAAGAACGTGCCTATATTTGTGTGCACCATGGCCTTCCCCACTGTGCCGTGCCCTCTCCATATCTTCGAGCCCTGCTACAGGCTGATGATCCGCCGCTGCATCGAGACGGGAACCAACTGCTTTGGCATGTGTCTGGGAAACGACCTCAAAGGGTCAGTGTTGGAAACTACCTCTGTGTAATTGGTTATTAGGTCTTTAACACACATGTATAAAGGTGTGTATCCATACTGATGATGACATTTCTCCATCTGCCTCCAGGTTTGCAGACTACGGGTGCTTGTTGGAGATTCGGGATGTGCAGTTCTTCTCCGACGGCCGCTCAGTTGTGGACACCATCGGCATGCGGAGGTTTAAAGTCATCCAGCACCGCGAGAGGGACGGATACAACACAGCTGATATAGAGTACCTGGAGGATGTAAAGGTATGAAGGGGAAAGGGAGAGGATTGAGAAGTAACGCTTGATAGATAATTACCAGAATAGGTTCATCTAACTCAAATGGTGTGTGTGTAGGTGGAGGGCGTGGCGGAGTGTGAGCTGCAGTCTCTGCACGACTCAGTGTACGACCAGGCCCTGGTGTGGGTCAACTCCCTGAAGAAGGAGCAGAGGGAACGCATTGAAGGTCACTTTGGATCCATGCCTCAGAAAGACTCTAAACTTCAGGTAAACAGAAACACAATTGACAAAGGCACAACGGAAATATTCATACTTCTTTCAAATGTGTCTTATATTTCTATGAAAATGAAAGATGATTTGTGATGCCGCAACCACTGAAACCATGTTTTAGACTTATACTATTAAATCCAATAATAGTATGATACTATACTATCAAATCTGATAATGGTAACTATACGATCCGATGCTATATGATTCGATAATATACAATACGATAATAATATGAGATAAAACCTTCAACAGCTCAATTGACAGATCAAGTCAGAATGTTTTTATTTTCCTAGCTCTATTTGCACATCAACAAGGACAAATATTTGTGTCCAATCACGGAAACAGACATTCATCAAAACACCACAATCCCTGAAGGCAATATCCTCAATGGCCTTTTAACGTACATTTGTTCTGGGATTAAACTTGTATTTCATCTATAAAATCATAGGGCCCTGTTAAAGCAACCATTATTCTCGTAATAAGACCCAAATTGAAACACACCTCCTAATATTTCTCCTTTCTTTTGTCTCTCCTCCTCCTTCAGGACAGCCCTAACGGCCCCCTGTGGTGCTGGTGGCTGCTAGCAGTTCTTCCGTTGGAGGGCCGAGCCCAGCTGCCCTTCCTGGCCCTCACCTCTCTGAAGGATCGCCTCAATGGCATCCGCAAGGTGCTTCTGTTCATGGCCCACAGCAGGCTCCGGTGACATGTTCCACACTCAGCGTTCACCATGCCTGGATAATGCAGTAACCCCCCCACCCCTGCAAACAAAACCCCCTCCTCACCGTCCTGCAGTGGACCTGCTGTTCTTCCTCTTTTTGGATGCACATAAAACTGTTGCACCTTCCTTGATGTAGCGCCATGGAGTCATCTTCACGTCAAATATTGTTGATTGTTATACATCGATATCTTCCACTCGTGACAGCTATGTTCAGACAGGGCGGGGAACATCCAAAACGACTTATTCAAAAACAAGCTTCAACCTCCATTGTTACATTTCTTGTCGCTGTTACAATGCGCACATAATATAGTGATACGTTTTTGTCCGACAGACAACAAACTGGTGCTCATATGTGTTTGTTTCTCCAATGTTGCCTTTTTGACCTTCCTCCATTTTTGAAGTCTTATGCTCTTCCTCTTGCGTAAATATTGTTGAAAACAACAAACTTTTCAGATTATGATTCCTCCTGTCTGAACATAGCTTCAAAGCAAACTCCTGAGAAAAGACTTACACATTCATGCAAGGGGCGAATGTACATTCAAATTCTGCAAGACACCAAGCATGAATTTGCCTTTTTGTGTAAATAAACTCACTTCTGTTGCATTATAATGCTAATTCAGACATAATTCATCGGTATGCCCATTTCTAATTGTATACATCTGCAGTTAAACCAATGTGTTTACTTTTCTTTCCCTTTTTACTATAACTTTCAATCTTTTTTTGGGCTGCTATTCTGTCTTCCCTCCGTCATTCTGATCCCTGCCTAACTCCATCTAATGCAGCTGAGTAACATTTTGACAAAGGCGTGCTTTGAGGCATTGTGTTTTATTCATCCATTTTTGTCTTATTTGTTATCATTATTTATTTGGTGTTATTTATGCATGTACTGACATTGTTTACATTTGAGAGAAAGGGATGTTGAGCTGCTTATTTTCCAAAGGCTTTTAAAAAAGATATTAACATTTCACCCCATAAATCATCGATAATACCCTGGTATCTGTGGGGTGTAATTACTTAAAAATACACTATTATACAATCATCATGAGGAGGGGGGGGAACATGGCCGCCATTAAAGCACTGACCAGTAAGCTGTAGTTGGGGGAGGATTCTCTTCCAGGCCTCACCTTTTTAGATCACTGGTGACACAAATCAGTGTTTTTTTATTTCCCCCCACAATCTGAGACATCTCAAATGTTGACTTATTTGAATTCCCTCTCTATAGCAGAGACACAGTATTGCAGAGAGCAACACCTTGATTTTTGATTCCATTATGTCCTAAATGTATTTATTCTGACTTATTTTGCACTTACACTTTGAGTAAGGGAAAGAAATGCCTCAACATTTGGATGACCACATAATGAAGTGTATTCTTTTGTGTGGTGAGCATCATGTAGCAGGTCAACTATACTGCGAAAGAGCTCTGATTTGATGACTTTGATGTGTGCTATGAGTAAAGGCCAGTGCCTTCTGTCCACAATGAGAAAGAAGTGTGGAACCTTTTTGTATTAAGTACTACATCCCATTTGAAGGTTTATTTCCCATTTTTATGGACATGTATGCATTAAAAGCATGACTTCCACAGTATGGGAATAAAATAACATTTGTGAAAAGGATGTCATATGAAAACATATTGAGGCCTTGCTGCTGTCTGTGACATGACTGTTTTTACATGGCTAAAGCTAATCTCTGGAAGAATGCAAGAGATTGATGAGCTTTGCCTTTAAATCTTTGATTTTGTATACATGTGTTTTTTTTGTTTTATAATTTTGTAAATTGTTGTGTAAGCGCACAGAGATTATCAGTCAATTCATCCACATTTATAATTTTCTATTACAATGGCCATGTAATGCTAATAAATGGATCAAACGATTAAGTGTATACACAATATTTTAATATTTTCCCCATGGATATTTTGTATTTAATTGTCAAATGTTGCAATATGACACAATCAAAACTCAATGCCGAATTATAGTTTATTGTATCATGATTCATGACCCAAGAGTTAATGTACTATTTGAAGATGATTGTCTTAAAGGGGACCTATCATGCAAAATGCACTTTTTTATGTCTTTTGTACATAAATATGTGTCCCCGGTGTGTCAGGGAACTCACGCAGCATCAGAAAATAAAACCCTCTCTCTTTTCCTCCGTGCGCAAATCTCTAAAAAACGGGGGTACAACGAGCTGATCTAGATTTGCCATCCGATATGACGTTATTTACCTCATATCGGATGGCACCCACGTGGTGGACCCACGGCCCTATTAGAAAGTTGCTATCAGAATCAATGCCCGACGTAATATGGCCTTTGTTTACATTAGCAAGCATCGCTAACACTCAGAGCTAACCTGTACTGCAGAGAGCACATGTGTGAAGAAGCAGGAAATAAAAAGGAACTCACCTTGTGGTAAACCGGCAAGAGAGAAAGCCTTTGAGCTCCATACTGTTTCAGAAATAAACCTTGATGTGGTTTCATCACCGCAGCATTTATTTTAGACAGTATCTGCCGGGTCCCGCATGAGCAGGCATAAACTCTGCCCCCTCTTTTTTTTTTTTTTAAAGCTTTATGCCCCGAATCAGCACTTTAGTAACAGGAAGTGAAATAGAGGGATATGAGGCATGGCTAGAATGGGTGATCTGTTGGTATTTTGAGCAAAACACTTCATAGACATGTTTTTTTATATATCTGAGACCTATGCTATTGCCTAAATATTGCATGATAGGTGACCTTTAAGAGAGAGTTTAATTCATAAATAGTAAAGAAGCCATGATGCTCAAACTTGGCCAGAAAGGGAAAAAGGGTCAAAACATATCGGACAGATATTCAGAGACAAATGTACTTCCTGAAAGATGAGAAGGGAAATCAAATAAAATCATGCTATCCTCGTTTCTTATTTTTTACAATGGGTGAAAATCTGAAGAAAAGAAAAAGAGACAAAATATCAAGAGGCTTTCTGTTAATGCTGATTACATTTATTGTTTTTTAATAAATGTAATCAGCATTAACAGAATAATGCCGCCGAAGTACTGTTCCAATCTCCAGCATACTTGGAAATCAACCGAGCCCAGCGTACTCCGTTTGGAGAAATATCGAGGCTGCACATGTGTCACAGTCTGCTTTCTCACTCACCTATTTTCTGCATTAACATTCCTTAGTCACCTGGTAGCCACACCCTGTCTCTCTCTCTCACTCTGTTACACCCATCAGCTCCATTAGTATATAGGCCCACTTCACTTTCACCTCAGTGCCAGATCGTACTTTGCAGCATGCCAGTCTTTCCCGCATTACCCTCCAGATTGCTCTCCCGGTTTCGACCCTGCCTGTCCCTGACCAGCCTGCCTCGCCTGTTTCCTGACCCTGCCTGTACCCGGACTATTCTGCCTTGCCTGCTCCCTGACCCGGTCTGTACCTGCGACTCCCGTCTTGCCTTCTCCTGGAACCCTCGCCTGTCCCCGACCAGCCCTTTGCCTACTATCTGCCTTTTCGTCTCCTACCAGCTTATTGCCTTAAATAAAGCTGGTTACCGACTATCCTTGGTTTCCTGTGTGTTGCATTTTGGTCCTCAGCTCATTTGTGACAGAACGATCTGGCCAGAAATGGACCAAGCAAACACCGGGTCTCCTAGAGACCGCTTTGAGAGGGTTGAGGAAGCCATCCAAAGACAGGAGGTCACGATAGCTATCTTAGCTACCGAGACCCACCAGGCAACCTCAACCCAGGGACAAACGCTGGCTTACCTGACCTCCCAGATGCAGCAGATGGCCACCTCCGTACAACAGCTAGCCGCTAGCATGGCTGCTACCGTCCCTCCGCCCGCAGCTCCGATGTTCACTCCAGCCTCTGGACCGACTGGATACGCTCCGGAGCCTCGTGTGGGAACTCCGGAACGCTACGCTGGTGAGCCTGAGGGATGCAGTCCTTTTCTCACAAACTGTTCCATATTGTTTTCACTGCAGCCACACACCTTTGCCTCCGAGGCGGCTCGCGTAGCTTTCACCATTAATCATTTGACGGGGAAGGCCCGTTTATGGGGTACTGCAGAGTGGGAGCAGCAGACTCCAGCCTGCGCCTCTTTTGTTGCATTTTCCGCGGAGATGCGGAAGGTGTTCGGTTCCGTTCGTCTGGGTCCCGATGCTGCCGGAGGTCTGCTGAGCTTGAGCCAGGGTTCCGGCACGGTGGTAAATTACGCTATTGACTTCCGCACCAGCAGCCGCCGCAGTAGCTGGAATGAGCCGGCGCAATGTGACGCATATCTGAGAGGATTAGCGGATTATATGAGAGATGAGCTGGTTTCCTATGATCTCCCTGCTTTCTTGGATGGGTTGATCGAGCTCACCTCTCGGATTGACAGACGAATTCAGACACGGAGAGGAGAGCAACAGACGTGAGCGGCGGCCGCTGCTCGCGACAACAACTTCCGGTTTCCGGGAGATTTCGACTTCCGGTTTCGGCGGAGAATTCCCACCTCTACTCTGACTCACGGTACGGGGAGGTCGAGCCCATGCAAGTGGGTTGTACCAGTCTTACCTCTGAGGAGAAGGAATTACGTCGAAGAGGTAATCTATGCCTTTACTGTGGTCAGGCTGGACATTTTGTTTCCCGTTGTCCGGGAAAAGGCAGAGCTCATCAGTAATGGGGAGTATACTGGTGGGCCAAACCTCTGAGCTGATCCCCAATGGAAGACCCTTGTGCCATGCTCGACTTCTCCTGACAGGCAAATCTCAGGCTCTGGCTGTTTTTATCGACTCCGGATCAGATGTCAGCATCATTGACGAGGAGCTCGCACTACAGCTGGGCATTCAACAGGTTCAGTTGCCCCAGCCGGTACCGGCTAATGCTTTGGATGGTCACCTGCTGGGAACAGTGACACACCAGACGACACCGGTCCATATGCTCATGTCGGGGAACCACCATGAGACTATCCAGTTTCATGTACTACGGTCCCCCCAAATTTCTCTGATTTTGGGTTATCCATGGCTCCGCCGCCACAACCCGAACATTGACTGGGCAACTGGGTCCATCCTTGGTTGGAGTTCCTCCTGTCATCAGGTTTGCCTCAAGCAGGCCGCCGCACCTCAACTATCTGTGGATATGAACCTGGTTCCGGATGTCACAGGGGTTCCGGCAGAATATTTGGATTTTAAGGAGGTCTTTAGCAAGACTAAGGCGACATCTCTCCCCCCTCATCGGCCCTATGACTGTGCCATTGAGCTACATCCAGGCGCAGTTCCACCCAAGGGTCGGTTGTACTCGCTTTCGGCACCGGAGAGGAAATCCATGGAGACTTACGTCAATGACTCTCTGGCTGCGGGAATTATTCGTCCTTCCACATCACCCGCAGGAGCAGGGGTTTTTTTTGTGGCGAAGAAGGATAAGACCCTGAGACCCTGCATTGACTATCGGGGTCTGAACGACGTCACGGTGAAGAATCGATATCCCCTGCCACTCATCTCGTCAGCGTTCGAGTTACTACAAGGGGCTACTATCTTCACTAAGCTGGATCTACGAAACGCATATCACCTGGTACGAATCCGTGAGGGGGATGATTGGAAGACCGCCTTCAACACCTCTTCGGGACATTACGAGTACCTGGTGATGCCATTTGGACTTACCAACGCCCCTGCAGTTTTCCAAGCGTTGGTGAACGACGTACTCCGGGACATGTTGGATCGTTATGTTTTTGTTTATCTGGACGACATTTTGATTTTTTCAAAGAGCCTCAAGGAACACATCCACCACGTCCAGACAGTCCTCCAGAGACTTCTGGAGAACTCGCTTTTCGTCAAGACGGAGAAGTGCGAGTTTCACACTTCTTCGGTCGCCTTTCTTGGCTACATCGTGGGTCAAGGAAGTGTGGAGATGGATCCCTCCAAAGTTTCAGCGGTTACCTCGTGGCGGGTTCCTGATTCCCGGAAGGAGCTGCAGCGTTTCCTAGGATTCGCTAACTTTTACAGACGGTTCATCCGTGGCTACAGTACCGTGGCCGCCCCGCTCACCGCCCCGACCTCGTCCAAGGTAACGTTCAGATGGTCCCATGCAGCCGAGGAGGCTTTTCAGGACCTCAAGCGCCGGTTTACATCGGCTCCTATCCTGCAGGTACCAGACCCTGCTGGTCAGTTGGTGGTGGAGGTGGATGCTTCTGACGTAGGGGTGGGGGCCATCCTGTCGCAACGTTCTGGTGAGAACCAGAAGCTCCACCCCTGTGCTTTCTTTTCGAGGAGATTGAGTCCGGCGGAGAGAAACTACGACGTGGGGAACCGGGAGCTTCTAGCAGTCAAGTTGGCGTTGGAGGAGTGGCGACACTGGCTTGAGGGGACAGAACAACCATTTCAGGTTTGGACCGACCATAAGAACCTGGAATATATCAGGTCGGCACAAAGACTGAATTCCCGGCAAGCCAGGTGGTCGTTATTTTTCACCCGGTTTAATTTTTTCCTCTCCTACCGCCCGGGACTCCCGCAACGTGAAGGCCGACGCCCTGTCCCGGCAGTTCGGGAGGGAGGGAGACACCTGCGGTATCCCGGACACGATTCTTCCTGCTCCTCGAGTGATCGGCGTCCTCGCTTGGGAGATTGAGGAGAGGGTTAAGACCGCTTTGGTGGACCAACCCGGTCCTAGTTCTTGTCCTCTTAACCGTTTGTTTGTGCCTCAGGTTTTGAGGGCTGAGGTGCTTCAGTGGGCTCACAGCTCCTGACTTTCCTGCCACCCTGGGATTCAACGTACCAGAGGGATGGTCCTACAACGGTTCTGGTGGGCTATGCTGGAGGCTGACACCCGGGAGTTTGTGAACGCCTGTCCTGTGTGCAATCGGCACAAACCCTCTCACCAAGCGCCAGCTGGCCTCCTTCATCCATTACCGGTCCCACGTCGCCCTTGGTCACATATTTCTTTGGACTTTGTGACTGGTCTACCACCATCCCATGGACATACTGCCATCTTGACGGTGGTGGATCGGTTCAGTAAGATG